GTTAGACAGGACTAGGCCCTAGGAGTCAGTGCAGAAGATGAGAACACATTACAACTGGCAGGAGGTGCATCTGTCAAAAGGCCAGACCTCAAGATAAAGATGGAATGACCAAGCCTACATGCCTCCCTGAGGGATAAGCAATAAAGTGAAGATTATGCTCACCTGGTCCAATAAAGTCTTGATAGACATCAGTCACCCACGTGGGTGACCAGGAAGGACTTCCTGACCCATCCCTTCCTAAAGTCTTTGTTCTTTCCATGTACACTTGCTACGTGACCTGTGACCTGCTTCCCTGTTGGATCAATATTACCTAAAGGGTATACTTGTAATCTTATTGGTCAATCAGTTTTGTGGGGGTTTTTTGGTACCAGGGATTGAACTCGGGTCCTTCCGCTTGTGACGCAGGTGGCTGAACCACTGAGCTAAACCTCCGGCCCTCAGTCACAATTTGGACCCACATTATACCCGTGTCTCGTGATTTTGCTCTATAGAACTTCCTCTGTGAAGTGGGGTCCATAGCAACTCACTTTTGGATCCCCTCCTGTCTTAGAAGTTATCTCTCTCAATAAATTTTTCCTACTCTTAACCTCCGCTGTTCCTTAAAATTTATTCTATTTCCACCGCCTGCCTCACAAACGGAAGGACTGGAATTCAATCCCCAGTACCGAAAAATAAATAAATAAAAATAAAATTTCTTTGATTTTGGGGAAACACAAACTCTGCGCATCTGATATCTAGCAGGTTGGGAGTTACATTTATTTCCCCTGTATCAGTACCACTGTGCCACATCCCTGGGAATTTTTAACCAAAGTATATATAACTGCAGAAAACTGCTGTAAGCAAATATGCTCAACTATTAATGTTAATCACTTTGAGCAGAGGAAATACAAATAACGGTTATTTTCTTGATACTTTTCTATATTTATTTAGGATTTTTTGGTTTCGTTTTTGTTTTTTGAGATAGGGTCTCACTGTGTAGTTCAGGCTGGCCTTGAACTCATGGTGATCCTCCTACCTCTGCTTCCCAAGTGCTGGGATTATAGGTATGCACCACCATGCCTGGCTTTTAAGTCAGAGTCTTGGTAAATTTCTAAGTTGCCCTACTAGGCTCAAATTTATGATCCTGCTGTCTCAGCCTCCCAGAATGCTGGGGTTACAAGTACTCTATATGCCACCATGCCCTGTTACTTCTTTATACTTACCTGCAATTTTTTAAAAAAAAAACAAGGCTCTACCTCATCATGTGGAGTGTATCTAAGCACAGAAACCCTAATGTGCTTCCCTCTTCATCTCAAAGGCGGGCCTCAGCAATGTTGCCCTCTGCCTCTGTCCCCGACCCCACAGCTGTGCTCAAGCCACTCTGATTTCTGGCTTTCAATTCCAGAAACCAACATCTTCCAGCATGGTTTTAAATTAGCAAGAGTATTTCCTGTCTGTTGCTTCCAACCAAAAGCCTCTAATACAGACATCAAAAGTTAACTGCAGCCAGGGATTTAGCTCAGTAGTTTCGCCGCCTGCTGCACAAGTAAGTGTAAAGACCCGATTTTGATCCCCGGTATTAAAAAAAAAAAAGATAGCCACTGTTAAGACATCAGGCTATGCTGGATGGATGTGGTGGCACATGCCTGTAATCCCAGCACTTGGGAGGCTGAAGCAGGAGGATCGATGAAAGTTCGAGGCCAGCCCGGGCTACTTAGTGAATTCAAGGACAGCCTGAACTACATAGCAAGACCCTCTCAAAAAAAAAAAAAGAAGAAAGGAAAGAAAGAAGAAATCAGGGTGTGTGTAGTTAGTGTGTGTCTACGTTGGTAGGCCATGCCTGTTACGAGTTATGCGTACTCTCCTTGCCAGTACCTGGGTTATACTGAACCTAGAGTTGAGTCTTAAAAATGGGATTCTGGTGCGTGCTTGTAATTTCAGCACTTGGGAATCTGAGGCAGGAAGATCTTCTGAGTTCAAGGCCAGCCTGGGCTACATAGTGAGTTCAAGGTCATCTTGAACTACATAGTGAGATCCTGTCTCAACCCTCACCCCGAAAAAAATCTGGAAAGACCAAAGTCACACAGTCTGATGGCAGTCAGAGGAGTCAGAGAAATTGGGAGCACTTCCTTTAAGCCATTCCTCCTGAGTATCAGTTGTCTATCTACAGGTAGGAAAGTGCAAAGTGTGTCTAGAGAACAATCAGAGGACCTGAACATCTCCAGCCCAAATCTGATGACACACATCATCTCTTATTACTCAATGGCTCCAGGTCGAAGTGCAACTTTTGGGTTTTTTTGGTACCTGGGATTGAATTTGGGACCTTGCGCTTTCGAGGCAGACGCCTGAGCCACTGAACTAAATCCCCTGCCGGCGACTTCTTTAACATGATCTGACCTCCAATCTGTGGGAAGAGACAAAGTACCAGCAGGGGAACTTTTGCATTTAGAAAGGTCTTGTTAAGAGACCAATGAAAATGGTAATTAGGAAGTCACCGGTGATCCTAAGAGATGCTCAATGGAGATGAAAGTTCAATTACAAAAGGTTTCAGCAAGTAGAAGGCAGTTTTCACAAACTGTCCTGGCAAAGGGGACTGTGGTAACTTGTGGTTAAAGCAAGATTGAGCCTTTGTAAGGGACTCAAGCCTTTTTAGAGGGAAGATAGAGATCCAAGCAGTTTAAAAGGGAATGCGTGGTAAAGGTTCTGGCAATTATGACAGGTGGGAGGCTGAACACATACTCATACAATGCTGGTAGGAATATAAATTACTTCTGGGTGACAATTTGGAGATAACACAAAACATTTTTTAAGTTAAAAAAAATTGGTGGTGGTGGGGATTTAGCTCAGTGGTTCTGCCACCTGCCTTGCAAGCACAAGGTCCCAAGTTCAATCTCCAGTACCAAGAAAAATAAACACCAAACAAACAAAAAAAGTTTTTTGAGACATGGTCTATGTAGTTCAGGCTGGGCTTGGACTATGCAGCCTAGGCTGGTGTCCTTCATCAGCCTCCCGAGTGCTGGGACTATAGGCATGTGCAACCACACCTGGCTATTCCTTTTTGACTTAGCAAGTTCACTTTTGGGATTTTGTGTGCGTGCGCATGTGTGCACAGTGCTGGGGATCAAACTGGGGACCTCAACTGGGCAGAGGTGCACACTTGTAATCCTAGCTACTTGGGAGGCTGAGGCAGAATCAAGTCTGAGGCCAGCCTGGGCAAAACTCAGCAAGACACTTTTTTTTTTTTTTAAGACACTGTCTTAAAAAATAAAAAGGGCCTGGGATGCAGCTCAGTGGTAGAGTACCTCTGGGCTCAATCCCCAGTACTGCAAAAAAGCCCCCAAAAAACCATAGTCCTTGCTTGTGCTAGGCAAATACTCTACCACTGAGCTATATCCCCAACCCCTGGATTTTTTTTTTCTTCTAAGAAAATTAGTATGGATGTGCACATTTAGCTACAGGGATATTTATCAATCTGCTGTTACGAAAGCTACAACAGTTTGATAACATAAAAAAGACTGTGATCAATTAATGATATATCCATTCAATGAACTGCTGCTAAAGCCCTTAAAGAACTGTCTATTTTGGGCTGAGGATGTACCTCAGTGGTTGAGTGCTTGCCTTGGCCAAGTGCAAGACGATGAATTCAATGGTTAATTGTTGTTAAATGGAGATATCATACTTTAATACTATTATCCCATTATAGCAGGTATCTCTGGACAGTGTGGGATTATGAATTCTTTTCCCTACCATGAAAAAGAACTAAACCTTGATCATGAAAACAATTTTTAAAATCTTTCTCACGTACATATGCAGTTTTTGGGCAGGGGATTTAGCTCAGTGGTGCCACATCTGCCTTCCAAGTGCAAGATCCTGAGTTTGATCCCTGGTACTGGCTCCCCACCAAAAAAAGCAGGTTTTTTTTGAGACAATGTCTCGCTGTTTAGCTCGGGCTGGCATTGAACTCAGTGATCTTCTGGCCTCACTGCCCAAGTGCTGGGATTACAGTTGCAGGCCCGTATGCCCAGCATGGATGCAGATTTTAAGAACAGGTAAAACTATGGTAAAGCAAATTCACATTCACTGGAATGGTTTTGAGACAGGGTCTTGCTTTTTTGGGGGGGGGGTACCAGGGATTGAACTCAGGACCTTGTGCTTTTGAGGCAGGTGACGATACCACTGAGCTAAATCCCCGGCCCAGAGTCCTGGTATGTACTTCAGGCTGTCCATGAACTATGTAGCCCTGGCTTTGAACTGGTGGTGATCCTCCTGCCTCAGCTTCCCCGAGTGCTGGGATTATAGGTGTGCACCACCACACCCGGGCAGGAATGAGTTCTTTGCCTAGAAGACAGCACGGAAGATAAAGGCTGAAGCTTAAATGAAAACAGGAGTAAAATACCCCAGGAAGAGAATTCCAATAGTTTGGAGTCTATTCAATTAGAAGGGAATCTTCTCTCACCTTCGCAAGAGCAGAGCTCTAACAGGAGAAATTCCAAACTCCTTAAGAAATTGAGTCATTATTACAAGAAAATATTTCTTCAAAATATACTATAGTGAGAACAAATATTTAATGACAACTACTGTTTGTCACATGCTCTACTGAGGCAGGCCAAGGTCTCACTGTGTAGTTTAGGGTGGCCTCGAACTTGCACTGATCCTGCTGCCTGAGGATCCTTTGTGCTGACTTCTATACATAATTTGCTTTATTCTTCAAACCTATCCTGAGGCAGACAGCATTGGCTTCATTTATAGTTGGGGAACCTAAAACTACATAGCAGATAAAGAACTTGCTCCAGGTCACAAAGCTGACAAATGACAGCTTAATTTGATCTCAGATCTGCTTGCTCCCTACACCATCCAGCCTGAGTTGCTATTTCTCAGAGACATAATACAGAAGATGTATTTTAGCTCCCTGCTTCTTAGCAATGCACCTGTTTCCTCCCTTGATCTTTTTCAACCTTCCCTTCACACACAGGAAAATAGCTGCCATACCTCTCCTAGACAGAAAGACCCACAGCTGGTTGTGAATTTTTTGTTATAAAACATTTAATGTTAACCTACAATACAATGTAAACCTTTATGAAAAAAATTTTAAGTACACTAGATTTCTTCAGGAAATTATCACGTAACTATTTAGGTGCAGTACAAGTTGGGGCACTGCATCCTTCGTGGATGGATTTTCTGTTGCTGCGTTCCTCACAAGTCCTAAAAAAACTTTAAGATGAAGCTCCTTGTTCAAGCACCAGGTGACAATATTCCCCTGATTTTGCATCCTGGGGTTATCACTCTTTCTCAGTCATTTTCTGTCTGAAACTCTTTCCTGGGCCTTGGCACCATTAGCAATTTTCATAATAACTGCTCAGTTGAAGTTTCTAGGTTCTTAGTTTTTTAGACATATTCTCCTCCAGCCATCTCTTCTCCATATCTCATGATGGAGGCAAGGAGAAAGGAATATTTACTGCAGGAAATTCTGCAGAAGTGAAAGAAAGACCAGAAAGGTCCCACTGAGGCTGCAAAAATTCAACTGACCCCAATTGGGTATCTTTGCTTGGTCATTTCCCATGGTGATTCAGCTGACTCTACAACTTCAGTTTTGGGAGTGTAGAACAAAACTTGAAACAAGTGTTTTTGTTGATGACTTGCCATCTGGAATCAACAGCTGAAATATCTCAGAGGTGATCTGGAAACAAGAGCAAATGCTTGCAGACTGCTGGCTTCTCAGCATCTTTTTTTCCCCTTGCAGGTCCCGTCAAGCTCCCAGAGGTCCTTGGGAGTAACACAGATTGTACTGGCATTAAGTGACAAAATGTGCAGCCCATATCACACCTAGGAGGAAGGAAAACGGCACCCAGGCAGCAGCAGTAGGGGCAGCAATGAGACAAGCATAAGACCTAAGTAAAGCAGAACTATTGCAAAAGGAACTAGAGGGGCATGTGCTTCAGTTGAAGCCTCTTGAAACCTACAGTAAATGGGCAGACTGTCCCAAGAGTTGTACCGAAAAAGTTGTCTTAATATACTTGGATCTGACCTCCTTTGCTGAACAACAGGCATCAAAAGGCAGAAAGAATAAAGTGCACATTATAGAACCAGATTGAGTTAAGGGGAGAAATAAACCCCATAATCCCCCAAGGATATTTGGGCAAGAGACTCTGTACGGCCAGCCTGTTGAAGGTCCTTCACACCCTCCTGTACAGAGCTGCCAGGGAAAGAGCTGTGAATTGCAAATGGGGGAGGCTTAAGAGGAAAAATTCCTCTTGTGTGGTAGTCATTTTAGGGTTGAGTGGAGAACATGATTTACATGTAGTTCATTTGAGACACGTTCTTATGACAACATCAAGGTGTGAGTTTCCACCCAGGTGGCCCTGGGAGAGCAGAAAACCAAGAACCACATGCAGCCAGGAACAGAACTAACTTTTCCTAGAGACAGTGGGAAATTCTCAGGCTCCCCAGATCAGGTCATATTCACGAGGCGCCTCCTTCTGCCACATGGTATTTTCCTGATAATAACTGAGGCTGCAGAGAGCAGTTAGTGTACTACTGCTACCAAAGAGTGGTCTTTAGGTTTTAGTTAAATAAAAGAAAGCCGCTGGAGATGACAAAAGCTAGCAAGTCAAAAAAAAACAAACAAAAAAACCCTAGCAAGTCATGCTTTATCATGACCCAAACACCCTTGCCTTCACAGCATGCTAGCAACCACAGTGATTTCAGAAGGCTGCAGAATGTAAGCCTTGCACCAGTCTAGCTACGGGACTCAATGGAATACTTGTCAGCACACACTGGCATCTGTTAATACATGACTTGACCCATGTACACATTACCATAAACTCAATCACAGACCCGGCATCCAGAGGTAAAAGGGAAAAAAAAGGACATCCTATTACTTCAACACAGCAACAGGGCAAAAGGATGAAAAGGCTTCTGGCAGTTGCTGTGTCAAAAGTGAAATGCAGCTAATGCAGGCTGGGAGTCCCGTCTTATTTCCCTTCAAGGCCTCTGGTTCTTTCTATTCTTAAACACACTGATTGGGGAAGGCAGGGAGGGCATTCTTACATGGTTCTGCTGGCTCCATTGCTGGTTCTCCCAGTACGTTGCAAAGGCACCAAGCGTGGCAGTTGGGGAAAGCTGCACAGCATGCACATGTCAGAAGAGGAATGAAGAGCTGCCATCCTTTGGTTCAAACCCTTTCACCACCACTTGGTACTGTTCCACGGAAAACTGCAGTTATGTGTAAAGGTGAATGTGTCTACCACATACATGGGTATAATCTGTCCACACAGCCTTTGTGAGGCTACAAACTCAGATTTCCTTCCACTGGTCCAAGTGGGGTGCACAGGTGGTAAGAAAAGACAGCAAGAGTTGGACCAACATGACCTCTCTAGGAATACGAGAGGGGCAATGGCAAAAATAAGCACAAACCAGCCTGGCCACCTTTATTACACTATTGTGGGCTAAGGAGCCCATGGCATGAACTCATGGGTTTAAGAATTGGCTTTTATGAAATAAAGTTAAGGAAAAAATATACCTGTGTCAGCCTCATTCCTTTGGTCATTACAAAGCAACATAAACAATTAAAATTATTCATAGGGCAGTTCAAGGAACATCCCTGATCTGTGCTTTCTCTTTCCCCTCTTCTCAAGAGGTGCGAGAAGGAAGTCCGCAGGAGATGCAGCTGTAGCTGGTTGATGGAGGTTTTTCACTTTCATTTGCCATAAAAGTAAGAATGAATAAAAGTAGTGGGAATGTCCCCTACCCCAACTGGAACAATGGATGGGCTGGAGGTGAAGAGTCTCTGTTCACTGAAGGTGTGCGGTGAGGAGGCTGTAGGGAGGGGTGGAGAGGGTACTTTCACTGCTAGCCTTGCGCACGCACAGGTCGTTGCTCTTGCAGGCAGCATGGTTTCTGACTCTTCCTTAGGATGCAGCAGTCTTTTAAAAAAAATATTGTATTATAATAATAATATGAATATCTCTCTTTTTTGTTTTGTTTTTTTCATTTCTTTTAGGGATTGGGGTGTGGGAGGGAAGAGGAAGAAAAAGTGTCATTCGTCTGTTAGGTCCTGAACAAAGAGAACTTCTGTGTGGCTGAGTCCCGCCTCTTGCAGCGTAGGGGGGTTTGGCCATTCCTCTGAAGGAACACAGGGTAGTACCCGCCTGGGAAAATTGGCTTCAATCTGAAATTTTTCAGGGCTTTCCTTCAAGGAGAATAAGAAGTCGTGGATTACCTGAAGAGGTCATACAGAAAAAGAATGGCAGTGAGAAAGACACACATACACTATTATAAAGTCTAATATCCCCCCATTCTCCCCAGAATGATTCTGAGACATGAAGCAGTCACAGCACCCTGGAATTCTACCTCAAGTGCTTCCATTTCCAAGGACAAATACAGTACGTAAGGCAGCCCTGTTAAAGAAATTACACAAGCCCAACACTAGCCCTACCCTGAACTGATTTATCTGCTTCTTTGATAACTTGTCTGATATAAAACTCAAGTTTTTCTTAGAAATAACCACCACTGGATGTGGTGGCACATGCCTGTAATCCCAGCAGTTGGGAGGCTAAGGCAGGAGGATCACCGTGAGTTTGAGGCCAGCCTGGGCTACACAGTGAGTTCAAGGCCAGCCTGAATTAGATAACAAGACCCTGTCTCAAAATACACACACATACACACACACACACACACACAAACACACGACCCCTATTTTTAAAAATACAAAGTTGAGATGTGAGCACTTACCTCAGTATAAACATATAAATGAGAGACCAAAAAAAAGAAGCTATTTCTTTCTCTCACAAAGGTGACTCAACTTTTACTCTGCATTAGTTCTTTGAGTCTTACTCCCTACTGCCCAGTAGTAAATTCCATGAATTCTAAAACCATGTCTCATTTGTATAATCCCTAACTAGTGTCTAAAACAGAACATGACATATCCTCAGTTTAAAATACTATAGGGCAGTGACGATGAACCTTTTAGAACTTTCAATGATACAAACAGCACACTGCAGCACAGGTTTGCCACCACTGCTACAGGGCATATTGTATTTCCATTTTACAGATGGGAAATCTGAGATCTGGCAAAAGATTCTATAATGTGCCCAATGTTCTCTAGTTAAACAAGGAAAAGCAGGGCTGGGGATTTAGCTCAGTGGTTTCGCCGCCTGCTGCGCAAGCACAAGGACCCAAGTTCAATCCCCAGTACCAAAAAAAAAAAACAAGGAAAAGCAATGACTACTACTCAGCCTCACTTGACAATAGTGCATACTCATTTCTATTGCAATGTCTCCTCTTGGTTTTTTTTTTTTTTTTTGGTACCGGGGACTGAACTCAGGACCTTGTGCTTACCAGGCAGACACCAGAACCACTGAGCTAAATCCCCAGCCCTGTTTTTTTTTTTTGTACTGGGGATAGAACTTGGGTCCTTGCGCCTGCAAGGCAGGTGGTGGAACCACTGAGCTAAATTCCTGGCCCTTCCTCTTGATTATTTTTTGTGATCAGAGAATCTACCACAGTTGTCAATATGGAAAAACAACATACTAACTCTTAATATAAACAGAACTTTTCTTTTGGGTATAAATACCCAAATAGCATTTGAGCACTCATGTTATGAGCCAGGTACAATGTAACACTATCTATCTGTCTGTCTGTCTATCGAGACAGGGTCTCATTATGTAGTTGAGGCTGGTCTTCTTGAACTATGTAGCCCAGGCTGGCCTCAAAATCATGGTGATTGTCTTGCTTCAGCCTCTCGAGTGCTAGGGATTATAGCTGTGTGCCACCACATCCAGCCTATTACACTAATTTTACAGATGAAAAAACTGAGCACTGAGATTACGTAAACTTCCAAGGAAATACATCCAGCAACCCTGGAAGAATAAGAACCCAAATTCTTATTCTGTGAGACTCTGAGAGTCTCTGCTTTTAACTATTTCCCTATGGAAATGACATACAGAAATGATCCCATACAGACATATGGAAATGATCCCAAACATACAAGGTACCCTCAGGAAGTGAGGCTTATGTGCTAAGTTGGTAGTAAGGGAGAGATCCAGACTACACTTGCACTGATATTCAAATGTGTAATTCAGTGCTTCTAGGTTACTGGGGAGCTCTCTCTACAGAGGAAAGGGTTCTGATGGGATTCTGAAGCCAATGCCAAAAGAGAGCACAAGAGAGCCTCCAATCCTCAAACAAACATTGCTTTTGTGGGACTTCTTTATAAGGTTTTTTTTTTTTTTGCTTAGTGGAATGCAAACATGATGAAAGAAAACCCTAAAAACTGCTTTGAGCTGACAGCCCAAACTGAAGGAACTCTCAGTTCAATGTACTCTTCTTGGTGTCACACTTGTCTCTTCCTTCCCTGTCCAACAGAGCATTGCTGACACCAACAGCACTGTCCAGAGTCTGTCAGAGGTTCTACAGTCCAGTCCAGATGCTATAAACTACAGTCCAGATGCTATAAACACTTCACCCACTTAGGTGATCCTTACTGTTAGAGACTGTGAAAAATGGAATCGTCTTTCTACTCGGGTATCATTGGGTAATTTGAAAATGATCTTGACACTTTCAGGGTCATCTGCGGAAGGCTCAGGAGGAAGGCACTCCAACTTCCTTTCCTTTTCCTCCTGCAAGTTCTGCAGACAAAAAGCAAAGATGAGATCATGGCTCAAAGAGAGACACAGGATCGTGTAGGTTTATGTGTACATTCAGAAGAAAATGTAATGACTGATCACTATAAGGAAAAACATGCTGCCGAGACACCAGAAACAATTCTGTTGCACCACGTATGTACTGTTTACTGAACGTGCCCTGTATTTAACCATTTGAGGAAAAAGGGAATGACTAAAGGACACTGGTGGTTAAGTGGTAATAGGCAGTGAAACAAGATCATGAAATAGAATATTTACCAGCTTCACTGGTACTATGAATAAGGTGAAGAAAATTAATCACTCATAGTACCAATATAGATTTTTTTCCTTTCATACTTAAGCAAAGACAAAGATGGCTAAGTCTCAGCGGTTTAGGGATCACGGAACAGAAGCACAGTCCATCACCTGCCGCCGTCTCTCCTCTGCCAGCTTCTGTTGCTGCACCTCCTCTTCCTTCCGTCGCTTCCGCTCCCGTTCCTCCCGCTTCTTCCTTTCTTTCTCCTGGTCAGCTCTGAGAGAGGCCAGGTATGCTTCATCCTGCTGTTGTCTTAGCACCTGGGTCTGGTTCCTTTCTTCTCTGTGGACAGATCAAAAGCATAAAAAAGAAAACAGCAATTTCACAAAGCTCTGTTTTCTTTTGAGGTCCTGGGGATGTAACCGAGCCTTGTGCATGCTATCAAGCATTCTACCCTGAGCCATATCTTCAGTCCTCTGTTTTCTCACACAGGGTAAAAATGTTGATCTCCTGAGGGAGTCCAAAAACAGAGCATGGCAGAATCGGAATGAACCATCTCATCTCATTCCTCAAGTTAATCTGGCAGAAACAGAAATGGCAACTTTTTTCCTCTCAACTTTTTTGTGGAGACAGGGTCTTTATGTAGCCCAGGCTGGCCTCAAACATGTGGTGATCCTCCTGCCTCAGCCTCCCAAGTGCTGGGATTATAGCACCACACCTAACCCTCTCCCTAACTTTTCATTATCTTTTTTATAACACTGTTATTTTTATGAAGTGATCATCAACATCACATTTTTATAGTAAATACCATTTCAGATTATCGCACTTTTGTTTTTTTTGTTGTTTTTGGTACCGGAGGGAGATGGAACTCGGGACCTTGTGCTTGAGAGGCAGGTGCTGGAACCACTGAGCTAAATCCCTGGCCCTATCCCACTTTTGTATATGTTTTCATTTAAAAAAAACAAAACAAAACTGCCAGGCTCAGTAGCACATGCCTGTAATTTTAACACTCAGGAGTCTGAAGCAGGATGACTGCCATGAGATTTGAGGCCGGCCTGTGCTACATAGTTAGGTTCAAGGTCACCCTGAACTACACAGCAAGACCCTGTTTCTAAAAACCAAAAATAAAAATTACACACACATTACAGAAGAGTATTTTTCCCCCCAGTACTGGGGACTGAACTCAGGGTCTTTGTACTGGATTATATACCCAGTCCTTTAAATTTTTCTTTTATTATACTTTTTATTTTATTTTTTATTTATTTTTTTTAACCAGGGATAGAACTCGGGTCCTTGCGCTTGCGCAGCAGGTGGCAAAACCACTGAGCTAAATCCCCGGCTTTTTTCTTTTATTTTGAGGTAGGGGTCTTGTGCTAAGTTTTGTTAAGTTGCCCATGCTGGGCGTGAACTTGGGATCTTTCTGCTTCAGTTTCCCACACTGTAGAAGATTTGAAAACTCCAGAGAACATGTTATTTAGAATTCCACTAACCACAGGTAAATACCATAAAATTTTGATGTATTTTCTATTTTTTCCTCTTTTCTCCTACAGTTTGTTTCATTTTCTCTTAGCAAGAACAATGTTGAATAGACATGTTTAATTTTCTTTAAAACTTTAGATAAAATTTACAAGCACTGAACTGCACAGATCTTAAATGTGCAATTCAATGAGTTTAAATAAATGTAATCATGCAACCACCACTTCAATGAAGACAAAATATTCCAACACCCCAGAATGTCCTCTCTGCTATATATTTTTTCAAATTGCTGGAGTATAAACCCAGCGCCTTGACAGGTGTGGTGGCACATGCCTATAATCCTAGCACTTGGGAGACTGAGGGTTGGCAGCCTGGACTTCATAGTGAGTTCAAGGTCAGCCTGAATTATACAGCAAGATCCTGACTCAAAAATGGAAAAACAACAAAAAAAACCCCACATAAATAAACAAACAAAACCAGAGCCTTGCTTTACCTGTCAGCTACACCCTGAATCCTTCTATACCTTTCTTATGATTTTGGGGACTGATCCCAGGGCTTCATGCACGCTAGGCAAGTACTTTACCACTGAAGCATAACCTGGACCCAACCTATATCCTTCTTACATGGTTGAAATTATACTATATTTATAAAGACTTTATCTTGCAGTTTTCTAACATATAATAAGCAGTTTCTCATATCACAAAAGCTTCCCATAAATTTATGTACAATTTTCCTGAGGGCATTTTGGCACAATAAACAAAATACTTCCATACACTTATATTGTTTAACACAGAAATTATACTTCCGGGAATTTTTTGGTTTTCGTTTTCTGAGACAGGGTCTCCCTATGTAGTGCAGGCTGGCCTTGTACTCAAGATGATCTTTCTTCCTCAGCCTCTGAGTGCTGGGACTACAGGCATGTGCCACCATGTCCAGCTAAATTATAGTACAGTTAGGTAATAGAGTGCTATGCAATAACTTCTTTTTTTTTTTTTGGTACCAGGAATCAAACTCTGGACCTTGCGCTTGCAAGGCAGGTGCTGGAACCACTGAGCTAAATCCCCGGCCCAATAATTTCTTTTTGGTATTGGGGATCGAACTTATGACCTTGTGCTTGCAAGGCAGGCGTGGTGCCACTGAACTAAATCCCCAGATATGCAATCATTTTTAAAATGTGACAAAATAATACTTAATGAAGAGGGGGACTAGGACTGTAGCTCAGTGGTAGGGTGCATGCTGCTAAGCATGCAGGATACCCTTGGTTCAATCCTCAGCACTGTAAAAAATAAAACAATAATATTTAATGATGAAGGAACATGCTGTGCATGTAAAAAGCTTATACAATAGTATCTCAATTTTACAAAAAGGATGACATTACCAACACACACACACACACACACGCATAACATACACCCACCCTCCATATGCGCACACACACACACACACAAATTTTTTAACAGTACTGGGGATTGAACCCAGGGCCTCATGTATGCTAGGCAAGTACTCTACTGATGAGCTATGTCCCCAGGAGCAACCCTTTTTTATAGTTTTATTTTGAAATAGGTCTTGCTAAGTTGTCAAGGCCGGCCTTGAACTTGCAATTCTCTTGCCTCAGCTTCCTGAGTAGCTGGGATTATAGGTATGCATCATCACAACCACTTTGGTTTTTGTTTGTATTTCCTGGCTTTTAACTCCTTCCCTAAGGCAGGCTATAGAACCAGTATTTGTCTACCCCAAGGTAGGTCATGATTTTTTTTTTTTTTTCGGTGGTACCAGGGACTGAACTCAGAACTTTGTGCTTGCCAGGCAGGAGTGGCGCCCCTGAGCTACATCCCCGGCCCCTGGTAGGTCATGATTTAATCTTCTCCTACCTTTCTATCATTGGAACTGACAAAATGGAATTCTCTGATCTTCCCTTGTCTGACAGTATGTCATAAATTGTAAGAACCCTGTATTTCAGAAGAGGTCTTGCCCCATACTCAAGAGGAATAAATGCTGTAGAGGAAAGACATGAAAACCCTGAAACAGACAAGCCTTGCTGGGTTTCCTCAACAAATCCATTAGCATTGGATCACAATCATTTTATCCAATCACATTTCTATATGGTTGTCCATACTTCAATCATGGTGACACAATAAAGTCTCCCAAAAGAAACCTGGATATTTCTAGAGGGTGGTGTGCCCAAAGAGGGCATGGAAGCCCCACAACCCTTCCCATATGCCTTACCCTATCCAGCTCTTCATCTATAGCTTCTATAGAAAGCTAAGTGGTTTCCTGAGTTTTATGAGCTGCCTGAACAAATTAAACCCAAGGTGGGGGTTGTAGCAATTTTGATTTATAGTTCCAGAAATAGAGGAAAACAACCTGAAGCTTGTGACTGGTATCTAAAGTAAGTAGGTGGCAGTCTCGGGAATGTAGCCCTCAACCGGTGGGATCTGACATAATATCCAGGTAGACAGTGTCAGAAATTAGTGGACACTCAGTTGGTGTTCAATTCTTTAGAATTAACTGTTTGCTTGGTGGATGGAGGGGAAATATCTGGTATCAGAAATGATCTGTTCTGTAAAAGTATGGTAGAAATTAAGCTTCAGTTTTCTCTTACTCAAGTTTTTATCAAGAGTATGTACCATAAAGGTGAGTGTATGTATTTATAATATTAAAAAGAAACAGGGCCAGGGATGTAGCTCAGTGGCACTGTGTCTGCCTCGCAAGCACAAGGTCCTGAGTTTGATCCCCAGTACCAAAGAAAGAGGGCGGGGGGGAGAAAGAAGAGGAAAAGAAATATACTACAGCAGTGATGGTGAACCTTTTGGAAACCAAGTGCCCAAACTGCAACCCAAATCCCACTTATTTATTACAAAGTGCCAACACTGAAATTAAACCTCAATACTGAGGTTTTAGTTTAGAAAAAAACAACTGTTATCCAATGCGTGGCTGCTGAGATGACCTGGCTTGCATGCAGAGAGGGCTCTGTGTGCCTGCTGTAGCACATGTGCCACAGGTTCATCACCAGTGTACTACAATATTAAGAGATGGTAGGCACATGCCTGTAATTGTAATCCCAGTTACTTGTAAGGCCATGATAGGAGGATTGTCAAGGCAGCCTGGGCATCTGAGAGAGACTATCCCCCCAAAAATGCTGGTGATACAGCTCACTGGTAGACCACTTGCCTAGCATGTATGAGTCCCTAAATACAATCCCAAGTATGAGTGTTTAATTTCTTCTTTGTACTTTTCCACTTTTTTCAAGTTTTTGGTAATTAACGCACATAATTCACATAAGGAGGGGTAAAGTTATAACCATGCCACATTTTTTACATTTTAGTTCTTTATATGAAGTTCAGCTACTCTAAATGACATATCAGTCATTCCTGAAGATAAAGCCTATCTTTATTTTGATTTACATCCCTTAAGAATGGATGATTTGACATAGAATAATTTAGGTCAAAACATGCAAGTATCTTGATACCTAGTGGGCAAGGCTTTTAAAGTTGCCTAAGATAGGGAAAAAAGCAAGGGGTTTGTGGAACCTCGGGTCAACTCTCCAAATACACAACTGGTCTCTTCCTTTCAGAAAGGAACTCTCTTGTACCTTTCTAGTCGTTCTGACACCAGGTATGTCTGGTTTGCATCCATAATAAATGTCAGCTGGTTAATGAGGTCATCAGGTTGAATGAGGCCTTCTAGCCGCCCCACCACAGTCATCCTCCGATCCTTCAGCATAATCATGGCCAGGAATGGATAGGTATTCTCTCGTAAAGCCTGTGAGACTGACAAAAAGATCCAAGAAATCAAGAGCGGGACTTGAGGATGAAAGAGATACCTCTTAGACTTTCCCAAAAGAGAGAGAGAATTCTTTAATCTTAGCTGGGAAAGAAGGGAGGTGTTGTTTATTCTCTGCCTATCCTTTTTAGCTGCTAGTGGCTTAGTCTTCCCTTTGTTACAGGTGTCCCTAAACCTAGGTGCTTAATTAGAACAGGACAGGCTTTTCTGGTGGGGTGTGGTTGTACTGCTGGGAGAGGTTGCACAGGTCAAAGACAATGTGTACTTAGTGGTAGGAAAAGCATAGCTCTCCCTAAATGAGAGGTCAAGCCTAAAAACAGACAAAGTTGCAGGTCTCAGCTTGATGCTGCAGGCGAAGATCTCCACCATAATCTTTTCTTTCTTCCTGTTGCCTAATCCCTTCCTTACCTTCATGTCTACTATTTAATAGTTTCTTTTTTTTGGTACCAGGATTGAACTCAGGACCTTGAGCTTAGTGAGGCAGGTTCGGTGTCACTGAGCTACATCCCCAGCCCTCCCCTCATGTCTATTTCTAGCCCTAAAAAGGCCATCTTTCTGCTCCAAAGGACCTAAGGAAGTTGTTCCTTATGGTGTGAATGAGATTTTATACATTTTTATAAAACATATTCTTAGTGTCCTTTTTCCACACTCCCAACCCTTCAAAACTTTATTGGAATGACAAAATGGATGCTGCAGGAACTTAGATGTTTAACAAACAAGAGTAAAGTTTTAGATTCCAGGATGCAGGGGAAACACCTGGTGCATCTTTCAGTTTCAAGATCTAGCACGATGCCAGGCATGCCAACCTACATTGTGCGGATGCTGGACACAGTAGCTGCAAAAGGACTGCATTTGTCCTCACTGTACATCTTTGTATCTTCTAAGGATTTCTAAAAATACTTATCTACAATTAAGTTATTGTCAGCAAAGAAGTGAACTTTCTGAATCTGTATCAGCGCTCAAAAAGATTTTTTTTTTTTTTTTTTTTTTTGGTACCAGGGATTGAACTCAGGTCTTTGTGCTGGTGAGGCAGGCAGCAGAACCACTAAGCTAAATCCCCGGCCCCAACACTCAAAAAGAGTACTCAAACAACTCACTCCCTTTGCTAGAAACTCTGTTAAAATTGCTGATGAGGAGAATAAACTCTTCAGTAAAAGGCCCATTAAGATCAAAGCCATGCTGCTAGACTTTTTAAAATAGGCCTCTGGCAATGGTAAACTATAAAAAATGGGCCTTAAAGCCTGTCAGACCTAATCCTGCTCTAAAATTTGCTGTGTAATTTCAGGCCTGCGGCTTAAACTCTCTGAGCCTGTATCCTAAATCATAATATAGAGGTAATACAATCCTCATCTTTTAGGGCTAAGATTAAATAATATAAAAACTACAACTAGCATCGTTACAAAAGACATGGTCGTGTAACAAAACCTTTCGAAGACATTGTGACAATCTCAATGAGGCAAAAGAAACACAACTTACCCCTGTATCCTTCAGGCTTGTTTGTAGAACATGCCCAGAAGAGCATCCTAGTATTTATTAGTGAAATGACTTCAGGTGCACAGAGTGTATTGCTAGGGAAAAGGATGAAAAGGACATTAACAACTTGCTGACTATAAACTGTCAGAAAGGATGGAAAAGAGAAAGAAATGGCAGGCATGGTGGCACACACCTAAAATCCCAGCACTCAGGAGGCTGAGACAGAAGAATTTCTGTGAGTTCGAGGCCAGCCTGGGTTACATAGTGAGTTCAAGGCCAGCCTGAACTGCATTAGTGAGGTCCTGTCTTGGAAAAAAAAAAAAAGAGAAAGAGAGAAATAAATGATTAATCAACTTACCGACAAAACTCATCAGAGTCCTGGTGGTCATCTCCATGAAGATAAACCAGAAGAAAGCGAAGCTCACGCTTGGCATCATTAAGTGCCTGTGTGAAACAGAAGACCATAAGTTAGTATAAAGTCTGTGCCCTGAGCTTTTACTTAGGCTAAGGGTCCCAACAGACACAGTTATGTATTTAGGATCGAAAAGAGAAACAGAAAAAAATGATAAGCAAGAAACAAGAAAACTTCTGGGTTTCTATCTTTACACTTTTGGCATTTTTCTCACTACACAAAGTTTATGCTAATAAACTTAAATGAATTAAAGTATTTTAGAATTGTTAGGATTTTAATTGTATCAGCTACATGAGAATAGACAAGCTGACACATACAGGTCCCCAGTAAATCACAGAAATGCCAGATGTTCCTAGTCTAAAGGAAGACAAAGGCAGGAGAATCTGACCATGTAAAATGAAAGGTGAACATTCTGCCACTCCACAGCTACAATTTCCTTGTAAATAAATAACTGTGAAGATGAGCCAGACTTCAGGCCACATACCAGGTAGGAATGAAGGACTATGGGACCCAAAGATATTCTAAGTACTAGTTTAGAAGATCTCCAAAGACAAAGCTAGTGTCCAGGACTCTTGTGTATACTTCTGCATGTGCGTACTCCTAAGCATCTTACATTTTAACATTTTCTGCATGTCCCGTGGTGGTCACCCTTAAAATCAGGGCAAAGAGAGTACATGAGAGGTGCTTATCTTACTTATCTCTATCTCCAGCACAAGTGTCTTAATGCTATGTAGTAGGTACTTTATGTTTGTTGAGTGGGGTGGCAGCAGCCAATCAGGACACTGATTGTGAGATAAAGGGGAAAAAAAGAGAGATAAAGCAGATAAGGGAAAAACAAGGACAAGCGTTTTCTCTTTGTCCAGAAAGATTCAGGAATCCTGGAGGCTGCGGAATAGAATCATCCTTTTTTGCCAACTTGCACAGTGTTAATTCTCTAATTTTCTGTAACAAACTAGAAATACACCTAACACCCAGAGAAATCTGATTTCTTCCGGAGAGGTGATTAGCAAAGGTCTGTGTGGCTTAGGTTGAATGAATGAGCTATCTCGAGTCTATAGTCTACATCCTTATTCAACTCTGTAAGGAATTAGAAAAGATTTAGGCTTTTGCCTTGAAGACATGTACAGTCTGGCAAAGCAGATAAGACATGAACGTAAGTAACTATGAGGAGAAATGTGAAGTTGCTATAAAAAAAAAAGCTATGGAAGAACAAAAACATAAATATTGTAGGTTGCAAAGTAGCACAGAATAAGGCACAACAATCAGAATGGTTGGAAAAGGGTTGTGGCATGAGCTGTTTGAAGGATGGGCAAGATTCCAGTTAGCCAAAATGTGAGGAAGGCATTCCAGGTGTAGGGAAGAGCAAAAGCAAAGGTACAGTGGTAGAAAAGTACAGTGCTGAGGGAAGGACTTAGCTGGAATCTAGGATATAAGGAAATAAGTTATATAGAAAAGACCTCAAAAGACAGTTACGATTAGATCAAGGAGGGTCCAGCTTTTTTTCCCCCTGTTAGCAATGAAGAGTTAAGGTTTCTGAATAAAAGAATGACATGATCAGTGCTGGGCTATGCTTTCCTTTGAGAACAGAATCATAGCAGTAAGTTTGTATCTATACGGTTTGGCACTGACCTGGCTGTAGGTTCCCTGGTAGAAGACAGGGTGTGCCCTCCCATATTTCTCTTCAAAAGAGTGCATAAATGAAACAATGTCCCCAACGGGGTCAGTGACCCGGCTGCGAGGGTCAGGCCGTATAAAACGAAGAGCAAACCTGGGGAGGAAGGAATAAATATCACATAAATCCAGCTTACTGTAGTGCATATGGAGTGGGCCAGTTTGTACAGATTCCTGTAACAGAGCCAGAGGCATGGCACCAAAGGGAGGTAAAGGGTCTATGAATGGACCATCAAACCCGAGAGTAGACTGACTCAAAAGCTATAAAGCTGCAAGAGTTGTTCCACTGCCTGTTCAAGAAGAATGCAAACTACTAGGATTATAAATTCCAACACTAGCCTAAACAAATTGTGCTTTCTACAGAAAAACTGAGTGTCTAAAAGTCTGAGAAGGGAGAAAGACCACATTTCCATCACCACACAATGTTTTTGGACAATGCTGCTCTACAAGAGAGATCTTTCTGGTTGTCCATATGCTTCTCCCTCTCCTTTCTGCTCCCTGGGATTTTGAAATTTTAGTTCATATTCCCCAAACTATTCAAATTATGGATAGAAACTTCATAGGGCCGGGGATTTTTAGCTCACTGGTTTCGCCGCCTGCTGCGCAAGCCCAAGGCCCCTGAGTTCGATCCCCGGTACCCCAAAAAAAAGAGAAACTTTAAACCTGAACTTGTGGTCTTGATATACTTGCTCTTTTAAAGGGGCAAGTAAATTTAGCTTGATTTAGGATTTATGGTATCCATGAAGGAAGTTATAAAAAAGGATCCAATGACAGATTCGGAGTACTGACAGTGGGAAGCATTACCTGATGGTATCAAACACCTATTCCTAAAGAGGCCTTTCTACCATATTGTATAGCATCATTTCTTTATGTTTTGGGTGTCCATGGTAGGCAAGGGGGCAGAGGTCTATATATCTCATTAAATAAGTTGCCTAGATGATATAGTTGCATTAAAATTAGTAATACATGCCATGCATATTTTGCTAAGGAAAGCAAACAATATTCATTTACTTGAAGAATTTATAACACAGAAAAGGTGTCTAAACTATGACACTTTCCTTACAAAATCTTGAGCTGATTCATTCACCCCTCAACAACTTCCCCATGTGTATACAATTACACTTGGAATTTCTTTTGAGTAATTAAATCAATTCATTGACACAAATATTCCAGAAAAAATTTTTTAAAATGTAAGAAGTTAGGCTCAGTGGCGCCGTGCCTGCCTCGCAAGTACAAGGCCCTGAGTTTGATGCCCAGTACCAAAAAAAAGTAAGAAGTTGTATATATGGCAAAACGGCTAGAAATCTTTCACAAGAGTGATATTTTGACTACTTTCTGCCTAGGATTATCTCTTTCTGTCTAGGATTATCTTTAAGTTTTCAGGAATGGCTAAAGGCTCCAAATTTTGAGGAACGGCTGAAGGCTTCAACTTATTTGTTTTTCATCACAATATATTCCTAAGCCAATACAATTTTGGACGAGATATCAGCTCAGTCTTAAGTTTTAAAGTTTTTTAATGTATTCATTTCTAAATAAAACAGGGACAGAAAGAGTACTAAGCAAGTGACTGGTGACCATTAAGAACTTTACTAAAGAAGCTATTAGATAGGGAGCAAAAGATATCATTTGAGTCTTGAACTTCCACAATTACTAGGTGCTCACTTCCAGTCTCTACCTCTTAGAGGGCAAAGGCTGCCTCTTATTTGGAGACAGGTGCAGACTGTGCTGAATTCAAGACACAGGTTACATCTCTAGCTCCATCTGCTGGCCTGGATGCCCATTAACATTTTACTTCCCCAGAAAGCCTCAGTGTGGCTCTAAACCAGATAACCAAGCCTGATCTGGCATGAAGTCAGGCTCCTCAGAACATTTCCTAGCCCTTGGACCCTCTGTAGCTTCCAATGAGAAGCTATCTGAATGGTACATGAAGGAAACTAGAAAGTGAAGGTATGAAGCAAGTGGGTATATAATATCTGAAAGGATTCCAGTGTCAGCAACACAGGGGTTGTCAGGGCAGAGAGAAATGTACACAACAGGGTGTCTAGAGATGCACCTATTGAGGGAGAAATCTAGGGCAACGTGGATAACTGAGAGCAAGAGAATTTACTGGGACTGTGAGTATTCAGATGGAGAAGTGGTTTAAGGTAAAAGTTTCAAGGAGTGGGAAGTTAGGAGACAATGGTGGTCAGAAAGAAAAACGTGGAGATTAGTGTTGAGGTGACAACATGGTGAAGGAAAGAAAGGAATGAACAATAAATGTAGGCAGAATTGATTCTTGTAAATAACAGGCAAGACTAATTTAAAACAATTCCATTTTATAACACCTAGCACTATGCTTGAACAACTTAAAATATTTTTACACTAGAGCAGAAGATAGTTCAAGAAGAATATTCAATCTGTTGACAAACTGGCAAGTCAAAACTGATAAGACCACAAAACTTATTCTGGTCCAAGTTTCAGCTCCAGAATCTACTTTGTTGCTATTAATCATAAATATGGAGGTACATACCTAAATATATCAAGTATCGTATAATAGGTAAACCGGAATGGAAGCATTATCAAGTAATAACCCCATCCAAGCAGTCCCTGAAATGTCAAAAACAAAGTTAGTGACAATTCTCTCCATCTGTAATACTTTACCGAATGGGAAGGTTAGATTTTTATACTTTGTTATTTCATCTAATTGATTCCTCCATAATATAGTTCTCTCTCACTGGTCACCTTATGCTTCTTAAATGCTTCTGCCTTTGATGTCATTTCATCTAACACTATTGCTTTTCTTCACATAATTACTGTCTCACATCTTGAATGCTTTTTCAGCAGCTCTTTATTATACTGTCAAAAATTCAACTGCAGGGCCGCGGATTTAGCTCAGTGGTTTTGCCACCTGCCTTGAAAGCACAGGGTCCTGAGTTCGATCCCCAGTACCAAAAAAAAAAAATTCAACTGCAAATTTATCTCTCCAAATAATATTCATTCTTTACTTTTTTTAGCGTTACACATTGAAATATGACACACAGAAACAGAAAACCATTTTTACTACCTTGGACATATGTATATAAATGATAAGGAGATAGGTTGTGGTAGTGTATGCCTGTAATCTCAGCACTTCAGGAGGCTGAGGCAGGAGGACTGCAAGCTGAAGCCCAGCCTGGGCAATTTACCGAGACCCTGACTCAAAAGAAGGAAGGAAAAAAGGGAGGGAGGGAGGAAGAGAAGGAAGGGAGGGTCAGTCTGGAGATGTAGCTCAATGCAAAGGTCCTGAGCTCAATCCTCAAGACCCCCCCTAAAGGTATTAACACAATGACAAATCTATGTATAGCTGCCAATCTTAGTACTATTAACAATTGTATTGCTATTATTAGTTATTAGCTAGCACTCATATAGGGCTCTATAGTTTACAAAGCACTGCTTTCTGTGTCCATGGTCAGGGAGCTCTAGAGTCCAATGGCTGACTCTGGGACTGAACGGTCAAGCCTAAAGGAAGCTGATGAAACACCAGGCATATACAGAACTACTACCTGAGACATGCATTCTCTAGAAATCTGTACTCTTCTACTTCACAATATCCCAAACAACTACTGTCTCCCTCTCCCTATATCTGTGGTTTTGCTTTCAATAGTTTCAGTTATTCATAGTTAACCAAGGTCTGAATATATGAAAATAGAAAATTCCAGAAATAAATAATCCATAAGTTTCAAACTGCATGCTATTCAGAGCAGTGTGATGAACTCTCCATTGCCCTGCTTCATCCCACCCAGGATGTCAATCATCCCTTTGTCCCTCCTGCATGCTACCTGCTCATTAGTCACTTAGTAGCTATCTTGATCATCAGATAGACTGTCAAGGTACTGCATGCTAGTGTTCAAGTACCCCTTAATAATGAACACAGATCATAAGAGTAAGGATGTTCACAATTCAAATATGCCAAAGATAAATCATCCAAGTATTCCTTTATGTGAAAAGGTAAAAATTCTTGAATTATTTTAAGAAAAAAAAATCATACAAGGTTGCTAAGATCCATGGTAAAAGCAAATCTTTTATAAAATTGAGGTAAAAAGAAATCTGTGCTAGTTTTGTTGTTGTACCTCAAACTGCAAAAGTTACAGCGTAGTACATTAAGTGCTTACTCTTTTTTTGTTTTGTTTTGTTTTGTTTTTGTTGAGACAGGGTCTTGCTATGTAGTTCAGGCTGGCCTTGAACTCATGGCAATCCTACTGTCTCAGCCTCCCTCCCAAGTATTGGGATTAAAGGTGTGTGCCACCACAACCGGTTCACTTAAAACTCTTCACTTGCTTATTTTACTTACTGACAAAGTCTTGCTATGTTACTATTTACTGTTACGGTTTAGATACAAAATGTCCCCCTAAAGACTCCTGTGTTCAGAGGTAGGGCTTCTGGAAGGGGAATGGATCATAGGGACAACAGAGCCATCAGTGGATGACCTTGTCTAACCTCCTCCAAATAGGCCTAGGCCTCACCTCCTAAAGTACATTAGGTGGGGTCTGATTGGACAAGGTGAGTAAAGGTGTATTCTTTGTTTTTTGGGGTTTTTTGTACCAGGGATTGAACTCAGGACCCTCCTGCTTGCCAGGCAGGCGCTGTGCCGCTGAGCTACATTCCCGGCTAGAAAGGTGTATTCTTGTCTCCAGCCCCTTTCTCTGTGGCTCTTTTCCTGCTCTCTGGTTTCTGGCTATGATGGGTCCAATAGCTCTGCTTCAGCTATCCTCTACCATGATGCGTAGAGGATAGCTGAGCAGATCATGGACTGAACTCTATGAAAGCTTAAGCCAAAATAAACCATTTTGTCCTTTAAATTATGTATGTTGGCCAGGGATTTAGCTCAGTGGTTCTGGCACCTGCCTTGCAAGTGCAAGGTCCCAAGTTAGATTCCCAGTACAAAAAAAAAAAAGAAAGACCTGGTCTCAAATTGTGTATGTCAAGCATTTTGACCCAGCAACAAAAAACTAATGTATTTATTTCCTTCCTTCTCCTTCTTCTCCCCTCCTTCCTTCCTATGTATATACAAATGTATGAGGTCTTGTTATGTTGCCGAGGCTGGCCTAAAACACTCAAATTCCTGCCTCAGGCTAAATTCTGTATTTTTTGTTGTTTTTTTTTTTTTTTTTAAGACAAGATCTCACTATGAAGCCCAGGCTGGCCTCAAACTCACGGAAATCCACCTGCCTCAGCCTCCAAAGTGCTGGCATTACAACCATGTGCCAGCATGCCCAGCCTAAATTCTATCTTTAAAACCTGAAGTACTCCACAAAAAAAATATGGCAGTAGAGAAAATTCTGACTACTTCAAGGGTAAAAGAAGTGCTTTAAGATTCTAAATGTAGGGGTCGAGGATTTAGCTCACTGCCACTGTACCTGCCTGGCAAGTGCAAGGTCCTGAGTTCTATCACTGGTATCTCCCCCATCAAAGATTCTAAATGTAAGAACCAGGCGTGGTGGTGCATGCCTATAACCCTAGGACTCTGGAGGCTGAGGCAGGAGGACTGCCATGAGTTCAAGGCCAGCCTGAGCTACATAGTGAGTTTAAGGCCAGAACTACATAGAGAGACCCTGACTCAAAAAAAAAAAAGATAACATTTGATTCTAAATGTAAACATAAGAGGTAAGTATAAGCTGGTTTACTGAGGATGGAACACAGGGACACCCTACCACAGAGAGTATATCTCCAGCCCTTTTTTTTTTGGTACTGAGGATCGAACTTGGGTCTTTGTGCTTGCGAGGCAGGCGGCAGAACCACTGAGCTAAATCCCTGGCCCTAGCCTTTTTTATTTTTAGATGAGGTTTTGCTAACTTTCCCAGGCTGGGCATGAATTTGTGATCTTCCTGCCTCAGCCTCCCAAGTAGCTGGCATTACAGGTATACATCATTTCACTGCATCTTTAGATCCCCAACACCAAAATGCCAGGTAACTGGAACACTTTTTTTTTTTTTTTGGACACAGTCTATGTAGTTCTGGTTGGACTTGAACTCACAATGGAGCCCAGGCTGGCCTCGAACTCACTGTGATCCTCCTGCCTCAGCCTTCTGAATGCTGGGATTACAAATGTAAGCCCACTATGCCTGTTTTAGAGCACTTTTTTTTTTGATACCAAGGATCGAACTCGGGATCTTGCGCTTGCCAGGCAGGTGCGGTGCCACTGAGCTAAATCGCTGGCCCTGGAGCACTCTTAAATGCCTGTTCAGTTTAAATGAACTATCTTTTTTACTACTAGCCTTTTAAACCTAAATTCAAAGATGTGGCAGAGGACTCCAAAAGTCTCCATGTACTTTTTCAAAAGTAGCTAAAAGTAAACTGAAGCAACAAAGACAAAGAACTCAGTCAACAGATTCTAATTTAAAAGTGGGAGGGCCGGGGATTTAGCTCAGTGGCACCTTGCCTGCCTCACAAGTGCAAGGTCCTGAGTTGGATCCCTGATATCAGAAAAAAAATAAAAATAAAAAAGAATGTGTAAACTAACCTATTCAAACACTCAAAACATGTTATAGCAAGCATGATTCAACTAAATGGCAAAGAACACAAAAAATGTGGCCAAGTGCAGAGCCACACACCTATAATCCCAGCTACTGCTTGGGAGGCCAAGAAAGGAGGGCCACAAGTTCAAGGCCAGCCTGATCAACTTAGCAAGATCCTGTCTCAAAATACAAAATAAAAAGGTCTAGGTGTTGCTCAGTGACAGTGCACCTCCGGGTTTGATCCCCAGTACTGGGGATAGAGGGGTTAAAAAACAAAGGCGAAATGGCATACCCAATAAATCTACCAAGGGCTTATTTCTACCTAACAGGTTTACATTCTGAATACTTCTGTCATACACAGATCACTATGACTAAGTGAATGAACATACAAAACGAAAAGAGGAAATTCCAGCTTTAAAATGACTTGCCCTTGGTTGAGGTCTTGAGACAACATAGCTGTAGATCCTGTGATCAGCTGTATTAACCTGTAGGGGTCGGGAGGGAGGTGGGTTGAAAACACTTGGTACGCCCTCTTGTTCATTCAGTCTGTCTTGTACAGCAGCCTGAGAAGGAAATGAGAGTTAGCAAGAGTTTCAGTGATATTCAAATCAATCTAGAAGAGGTGAAGCAACTATAGTTTGGTCTTTCAAAATAGGGTGATCATTAACACAAAAGTCACCTGAGGAGTGTATTTTCAAGGACCTTTTAACCTGCTGCCCTGAGAGGCACTGAGAATTCACACATAGGAGAGGAGACCAAGAATGTACATTTATGCAACAAGCATACTGCTTTTATTCAGAACGTATATAATCCTTTACTAGAATATAAGATGCTTCACTTTACAACTCCAAGAAAAGCTATACACAGGAAATACAATGCGGACAGGGCCCCTGGAGTTGTACACTGGTGCAGGCCTGATGAGTGGTAACTGATGGAGTGCTAGGACATAGAGAAACGTAAGTCTGAATTCTAGCACCATCACTTAGAAAAGTTGCTCAACTTAATAGCCTCAGGTTCTGCATGTGCAAGATGAACAATTGTGCTCAGAGTTGATAGATTCTAATACAACTTGTGGCAGGTCACTAGTACTTCTTTTTTTGTACCGGGGATCGAACTCAGGACCTTGGCCTTGCCAGGCAGGGGGTGGGACCACTGAGCTAAATCCCTGGCACTAGTACTTGGTTTTTAAAGAAACCTTATTCTAGGGGTGAGGATTTAGCTCAGTGGTGCCACTGCCTGCGTCAAAACCCCAAGGTCCTGAGTTCGATCTCAGGTACCAAAAAAAAAAGAAAGCTTATTCTCCTTTCACCTCTGTCCTTGAAAATTGCTATTTGTCTCAGGATATGAAAAATAGGGCTAGGGCCAGGGATTTAGCTCAGCGGTTTCACTGAGCGCAAGGACCAGAGTTCGATCCCCGGTACCAAAAAAAAAAAAAAAAAATAGGGCCATACCCAAAGAAATGCCCAGGAGGTATTCTATGTCATATGTGATGGGAGCAACTTTTTGCTTTCTCACCCAAAAAGTCTTACAGTGATAGCTAGCCATGTCAGAAAGGCCAACTATGTGATTTAAAGTGTGGATTTGAACCAGGTGTGGTGGTGCATGCCTGTAATCCCAACATAGGAGAGACTGAGAAAGGAGGATCACTGAAAGTTCAAGGTCAGCCTGGACTACATTATAAGGTCAAGGCTGGCCTGAACTACATAGTGAAATTTTGTCTCTAAAAACCAAAATGATGATGATGATGACGACGACAATGACGACGACAGGATCTGAGGCCAGTGTGGTGGTGCACACCTGTCATCCCAGTTCTCTGGGAGGTTGAATCAGGGGGATCACAAGTTTGAGCCCAGCCTGGGCAATATAGTAAGACCCCATCTCAAAATAAAAAAAGCAGAAAGCTGGGTATGGTGGTGCACACCTACTGTATTCCAGCACTCATGAGGCTGAGGCAGGAAGGAGGACTGCTCTGAGTTTGAGGCCAGCTTGGGCTACACAGTGAGTTCAAGGCCAGCCTGAACTGCACAGTAAAACCCTGACAAACAAGTCAAACAAACAAAAAATAATCCTTACAAATTAAACACAAAACTGGAAAAAAAAAAAAAAGACCTTAAAAAATAATAAAGGGCTAGGTATGTAGTTTTCAGTGTGAAGACCCTAGGTCACCCTAATCCCCAATACCATAAAAAAGAAAAGAATAAAGTAATGATTTGGGATAACTCAGTGTCAGTCAACTTGGATACTGAGTTCAACCACATGGGCACCTATCAAACTAATCATGCCTATGTAAGGAAGCCCCAATTAAAATCCTGGACATTTCAAGCCCACATGAACTTCTCTGGTTGGCAATATGCATACATATGGTCACACATTGGTGCCAGAAAAGTAATGCATCCTGACTCCATGAAAAGAAGGGCATGCAAGTTTCCCAGTGGAAACCCTTGAGATTGGCCTATGTATAGCTGATTTAATCTATACCAGTTCCTCATAATTAAACTGTAGCCATGAATGTAACAGCTTTCAGTGAGTTCTTCTAGAGAACTATCAAACCTGAGAGTAGTTTTGAAATCCCTTTGGATATATAAGTCAGTGTCAGAATGACAGTGGCCTCTGGGAAAGCTATATACCCTCTAAATTTGACATTTCTCTTTAACCTTTGTAGTATGACTAATACTATGCAGTCCTTTAATTTACAATTCAGGGAGAAAAGAGTAATATTCAACAAATGGTGCTGGGATTCAAGAGGAAAATAAGTTAAACCACTAGACTACTACTGTGGTTTTCCTCATGATAGCCTGCCCTACATCTTCCAGGGTGTACTTTTATCTTGCTTTTTCCTCTTTTACTCAGCCCACACCACACACTGCAGTGCCAGTTTCTTCCTCATTCCTCATTTTTATTTTTTCAAATAAACTTTGCCACTGTTAAAAAAAAAAAAGAAGAAGTTGAACCATTGTGGGGTACCACTTCTGATTATACTCAAAGCCCAGGCATCTGAGGACACTTAAGGACATGACTTCACTCTCAGGGACATGCACATAAGGGGCCACAGTTAACTAAAAGGGACTGAACATACTCAACCATGCATGCGCAGCATGGCCAAGATCATGCAGCAGGTGTTTAGTCTCACCATGCCCCAGTAAGCTGGTAAGACACTATAACTCCTATGAATTAAAGAACATTAACTTTTTAGTAGTTGCTTTGCTGAAAGAATAAAGATATGCAGATCTTGAGCTCTGGAGCTGGAGCTCCAACTCTCATGCTCTGATGCTGCCCTGATACTGAAAACTGACTCTGCATCTTATTCTTTATTGGGGAATTAATCAACTCACAAGGGATGATATGGACTAAATGGACCCCTCTCCAGGTGCCTCCTGGGGCATAAATTGAAATGCCAGTTTACTTGGGGAGAATCTCTGGTCAACATGTGGAAAACTTTAATACTGTTTTGTTTTTGTGGTGCTGGGGAGTGGAAGCAGGGCCCTTTTCACTGAGCCTCATCTTTGGCCCTATTAAAGATTTTTTTGGAGACAGGGTCTCACTATGTAGTCCCGGCTGGCCTCAAACTTATACAGCTTCCTGTTTCTGTCTCCCGCGTACTGGGCTAACAGGTATGTATCATTGTTTTTTTAAGACAGGGTCTCACTATATAGTTTAGGCTGGCTTTGAACTCTCAGTGATCCTCCTGCCTCAGCTTCCCAAGTGGTTGGATTACAGGCATGTACCACTATGCTTGGCCCAGCAACCTGTTTTTAGACAAGCATTGAGAATATCTGAAAAGAATAAAAAATTGTTAATATGGCTATGTGGGGAAGTAAGGGTGAAGCAGTGATAGGGAACTGATTTGGGTAGGATCTTTATCTTATTTCATCTCAGTCATAAAAATAAACCCAGAGCCTGAAAGGAGAGGGGATAATTTCCTTTGAGACAGGGTCTCACTATGTAGTTCAGGTTGGCCTTGAACTCCCTATAATGCCCAGGCTGGTCTCAAACTCACAGCGATTCTCCTGTCAGCCTCTCAAGTGTTGGAATTACAGGTATGCACGACTTTGCCAAGCGAGAGAAAGCACATGATCATTTTCTTTCTTTATATTTTCCGGAATCCTCTGCCTATGTGGGTGCACCTATGTGTACAGGTATTTTTCCAAGTCTGTAATAAGCTATTTCATTTGCTGGTCAACATCATGCTAGAAGCCAGGTGTGATGGTGCATGCCTGCAATCCCAGCATTCAGGAGGCTGAGGCAGGAGGATTGCCATGAGTTCAAGGCCACCCTGGGCTATGTAGTAAGTTCAAGGCCAGTCTGAGCTACATAGCAAGACTCTGTTTCAAAAAAGCAAAAAAAATCCAAAACAGGACAATACACACACACACACACACACACACACACACACACACACACACACACACCAAAAAAACTCATGCTAGATAATAAGGAACCAGAAATAAGGGTAGCAATACTAATAAACCAGAATTCAAACCAAAAAACATATTAATGAAAGGTATTTCTACAAGAAAGTTAACAGCCACTTATCTTTGTGTTAAATAAGGCTGTTAAATCTTATAAACATTAAAAAGTGCCTCTCCCAAATAGACACAAAATGTGTTAATATATTTAATTTCTACTATGTCTTGCCTTCCCACAGCACATACAAAAAATAAGCACGAGCTGGGGATTTAGCTCAGTGGTGCCACACCTCCCTGGCAAGTACAAGGTCCTGAGTTTGATTCCCAGTAACCCCCCCGGCAAAAAAGTAAGCATTTGCTGTGATGTAGAACTTGTTATTAACACTGGAAAGGTACATATATATACACACATACATATATGTGTATATATATATACACATACATATATGTGTGTATATATATATACACACATACATATATGTATATATATACATACACACATATATGTATATATACACACACACACACACATATGTGTGTGTATATATGTATGTATGTATATATATACATACACACATATATGTATATATATACACACATATTATGTATGTGTGTATATATATACACACATACATAATATGTACACATATTATGTATGTGTGTATATATATACATATACACACATATATATGGGCATACTAAGCAGAATTATATATAGAATAAAGTCTGGAAGACAGAAGAAATCATGCTCAAGTCATCACCTCAAGTAGTCTCAAAAGGTAAACAAATGAAAAAAAAAAAGAGAAAGAAAGAAAAGAAAAAACTAAACAAGCCAGGCATGGAGCGTGTTTGTAATTCTAGCACTCTGGCAGGCTGAGGTAGGAGGAATCCAAGTTCAAGCCCCACGTAGGCAACTTAGTGAGACCCTGTCTCAGAATTTAAAAATCTTTAAAAAGGGCTGCTGGTATAGCTTAGTATGAAGACCCTGAGTTCAATACCTAGTACTGCCCCCCAAAAAGGTAGGCACTAGGGTCAGGATTTTTTTTAGGTTTTTTTTGTTTGTTTGAGACAGGGTCTTGCTAGGCAGTTCAGGCTATCCTTCAACTTGATGTGTAGCTCAGGCGGGCCTCAAACTCAGGGCAATCCTCCTGCCTCAGCCTCTAAGTGCTGAGATTATAGGTGTTTTTGCTGCCATGCCTGGCTAGGGTCAGCATTTATTTTATATTTCATACATTTTTATCACATTTTATACATTTTTCACACCAGTAAAGGTGACTAAGGAGTCATAGTTCTCAAGAAAAAAAAACCCTATTGTGGGAGGATTCATGCTGTGGAAAAATATGCTTTTAGTTACAAGACCAGAGAAAAGAGGACCAAGGATTTAGCTCAGTGGTTCTGTCACCTGCCTCGAAAGCACAAGGTCCCAAGTTCAATCCCCAGTACCAAAAAAAAAAAAGACCAGAGAAAAGAAATAAGCTTAGAATGAATCCTACTATAGTGTACCTCTATGTTCCAGTTATGCTGTTCCAAGGTATGGCGGCACTGATCCATAGATTCTATGCCAGTCAGATCCTGGGGGAATAAAAGGATAAAAACAGTTATTTAGAAAAAAACCAGGGCTGGGGACATAGCTTAATGGTAGAGCACCTGCCTAGTATTTTATAAGGCTCTAGGTTCAATGCCCAGCACCACTACACAACAAACAAACAAACAAACCCCAACAGTATTTATGTGGATATTTTTACCGAGTGGACTTGTTAATGAAAAATGTTAGGAAAATGCACTAAAAATTTTTGAAGGCAGAGCTTAAAGTATGGTTAATGCTGACTGATTCAGAATTTAATCAGCTATTTGAGACTTATACAGATTTTTAAATTAATTTTATTTTATTTTATCCTACTCCCTCTCTTCAAGCCCCACCCCCCGAAAACAAAAGCTTTGTTTCTATTATACAGATATTTTTTAAATGCTTCCTTTAAAAACTCCAATTAGGGGAGTGCAGCTGCAAGCGTGCAAGCCGAGATGCTGTGGACCCGCAACATGAGCATTCCAGGCGGTGAACCCCAGGCTCTGCAAGTCTGCAATAAAAAATGGCCTCCAATAAAACTACATTGCAAAAAATGGGAAACAAAATGGAAAAAGTAAAAAAGTAGAGGAAGCAGAGCCTGAAGAATCTGTGGTACAAAAAGTACTGGAACGTTGTGTCATGAATGGGAAGGTGGAGTATTTTCTGAAGTGGAAGGGATTTACAGATGCTGACAATACATGGGAACCTGAAGAAAATTTAGATTGTCCAGAATTAATTGAAGCACTTAATTCTCAAAAAACTGGTAAGGAAAAATATGGTACAAAAAGAAAATCTTTATCTGACAGTGAATCTGATGATAGCAAATCAAAGAAGAAAAGAGATGCCGCTGACAAGCTTAGAGCATTTGCTAGAGGTCTTGATTCTGAACAAATAATTGGTGCCACAGACAGTAGTGGAGAATTGATGTTTCTCATGAAATGGAAAGATTCAGAAGAGGCTGACTTGGTGCTGGCAAAAGAGGCAAATATGAAATGTCCTCAAATTGTAATTGCTTTTTATGAAGAGAGACTAACTTAGCATTCTTGTCCAGAAGATGAAGCTCAATAACGTACATCATTTTTATACATATATATATATATATAAAAAATGGGTCTTGGTGTTTGATTTACTAGTGTAAAAAACCAGCATTCTAATGAAAATCAAGTTTAATATGTTGGTTTTGAAAGTATTTGGGGAAGTTGCTGGGTTTTGTTTCGCATCAATAGCACTAGTTATTTTGAACAAATAAAAAGCTTTCTGTAGTTGCTTCCTTTATCAAAAAAAAAAAAAACTCCAATTAGGGCCAAGGATTTAGCTCAGTGGTTCTGCTGCCTGCCTCGCAAGCACAAGGTCCCAAGTTCGATCCCCAGTACACCAAAAAAACAAAAAACAAATAAAAACTCCAATTAAAGAGGACTAGTGATTAAAATCAATATTCTCTCAAATTCAAGTTAAAAATTTAAAAGATTTCTTCAATCTCTTGGACCTGCAAACTATTCTTTAATAAACAACTGCTCTACCAGGGATTTGGCTCAGTGGCACCGCACCTGCCTCGCAAGCACAAGGTCCTTAGTTCAATCCCAGGTACCAAAACAATAAATAAACAATTGCTCTGATTATAAAACATAATGTAATGTAGTTCTCCTGCAAAATACCATTCCTTTCATCAAGTTATTTATCTAATGGTATCCAACTCAGCTCACAATGGGAACAATGTAAGACTTTTTATGAAAAAGAATCTGTAATTCACATTTCCCTTTTTCACTGTTCCAAGGTTTCACCTAGTCTCTAACCAAAGCTCCTTCTCTAGCTGTTCTATCCCTCTAAATGTAGGAATTTACCTGAAGATATGTCCTTGATTTGGTTTTCTTTTATCTACTTTCTTGACAAATTTCAATCAATCCTTAGCCTTCAACATCCTTTTGATGTAGATGATTTCTAATTTAATCCCTGGGCCCACTTCTTTTCTTGTCTTTTTTTTTTTTTTTGGTACCGGGGATCGAACTCGGGTCCTTCCTGGGCCCACTTCTGATATTCAGCAGCACATTCCAATGGCCTATTCAACATTTCCACCTAGATATGGTACCAGTATCTCAAATCCATCATTTTAAACCACTGTATCTGTTAGTGACATCACCTTCCAAAATATCCAGACAACATCTAAAACCTCAACTGCATCTCAGAACTCCACAGTTCATGAGTAATCAAGTTCTGAAAACTCACTTTGTATTTTATCTTATACCTATAACTGCATTTCCATTTTTATAGCTAGAATCTTTAATTAGCTTCTTTTTTTTTTTTTTTGAGACAGGGCCTTGCTATGTAGTTCAGGTTGGCCTTGAACTATGTAATCAGGTTGGCCTCAAACTCCTGGTAATGCTCCTGCCTCAGCCCTGGCATTACAGGTGTGTACCACCATGCCTGGCTAATTAGTCTTTCATAATCCTTAAGTCAACCATCAATTTCCCTCCTACCTTCAGATTTTTCCTCCTAGTATTTGTGTATGTGCGCGCGCGCGTGCGCGCGCACACACACACACACACACACACACACACACACACACATTAGTCAAATCCTTTCAGCCGACTGAGTAACAAATTCCAAAACACTTAGTCTGGCATTCAAATATTTCTATAAAATTAGTACAATCTAGCTTTTTAGGTTGCTTTCTATTTCCCCTCAGATAGCTAATACCAAATCTAATAGTTCACACACACATCTCATGCCCAGCAATTCCATAGAGCTAAACTCTAGCCTTCCTTCAAAGCCCAATACAGAAATTATATTCCCTTCAGCTATTCACTCTTTCACTTAACAAATGCCTACTCTGTTTATTACTATGTTCAAGATCTATAAAGATGAGCTAAGACAGTCTCTACCCTTAGGAACCTCTCAACTAGCAACCATCTGGACAAAGAGACAGATCTAAACCTAACAAAAATGTGGTAGAGCATCCAGGTTCTCTACAAATTATCACAAAATCTCACTGCATATGGACATGTTGGGTTTGATTTTTTTGTTCTGAGATGATGGGGATACAACCCAGAACCTTCTGCATGCTAGGCAGGCACTCTACTACTGAGCTATTACTTCCAGCTCCTCTAGGGTTTTGAAAGCCCAAATGTTATTAGATGCCAAGCTGGTTGACAGCAAATTTGTAATCTTCTTAGAAAGGGATGAAGCCCAGGACATAGGTTCTGCTTTATTTTTATGTTCATTTTTGCATTTTAAAGTTTCTCAGTTAATTCTAATGTATGAGAATGATGTGAAATCCATGGTATTAATGTACAATTCTAACTAGGAACAGAGTCTATTTTTGGGGGTGAGAGGGGTTGGTACCAGGGATCGAACTCACGACCTTGCCCTTGAGAGGCAGGTGCGGTGCCACTAAGCTAATCCCCGGCCCCAGAGTCTTGTTTTTTTTGTACCGGGGATTGAACTCGGGTCCCTGCGCTTGCGCAGCAGGCAGCGAAACCACTGAGCTAAATCCCTGGCCCCTGCCAGAGTCTTGTTTTTGCAGTACTGGAATTTGAACCTGAGGCCCTGTACATGCTAAGTCAACACTCTACCCTAAAGATACATCCCCAGCTCTGGAACAATATTTTAAATCTCTTATTAAAATACTTTTTAGGGCCAGGCATTTAGCTCAGTGGCATCACACCTGCCTTGCAAGTGCAAGGTCCCAAGTTTGATCCCCGGTACCAAAAAGAAAGAAAAAAATACTTTTTTAAAAAAGGTGTGGGCCGGGGATGTAGCTCAGTGGCACTATATGTGCCTGGCAAGCACAAGGTCTTGAGACTGATCTCTGGTGGTGGTGGTGGTAGGTGGGTATATAGCCATGTGTGGCAGTGTACACCTATAATCCAAGTTCTTGAACACTTGGGAGGCTGAGCCAAGAAAATCAGGAGTTTCAGGGAGGATTATAAATACTGTAGAAGAAAACAGAGTAATTACACAACTGAAAATTGAAATACTTAACCTAATTTGCAAGTAAAATCCTTTTGTAAGCAGTGACACAGTTAAACATGAAGCCCAACTAAACAAGCCTGCTTGTAATTGCTACTGATCAGTATTAAAACCATGCAATAAGCAGGTGAGACACACCTAGGCCAGGATTATTTGTTCATCAACATATATTCACTGACCCAATATTCTAGATATCCAGAATACAGTTATAGTTCCTGCCCTCTAAGGTTGTATTTGAGAAGCTGGGCATGGTGCTGTCCACCGGGGAGGCTGAGGCAGGAGGTCTGCCTGGAGTTTGAGGCTAGCCTGGGCTACAAATTGAGTTCAAAGCCAACTTGAACTACATAGGGAGACCCTATCTCAAAAAACAAAAACAAACAAACAAACAAGAAGTTTGAGTCCAACTTGGGAAACTTGAGACTCTGTCTGAAAATTTTTAAAAAGGGCTGGAGATGTAGCTGAGTGCAAAAGCTCTTGTTCAGTGCCCAGTAATGCAATCAATCAATCAATCAATCAATCATCTAAGACCGACCAAAACAAATCACCTACACATTACTAGGTAAGTTAACAGAATTTTCATTTTGTTCTTGGAGCTCTCTGGATTGGATGCTCAAAAAAAAGTCTCCCCACTGGAGATTTAGCTCAGTGGTGCTGCCGCCTGCCTGCCTTGCAAGCGCAAGGTTGCAAGTTCAATCCCCAGTACCAAAAATAAACAAAAAAAGCCTCCTTAAGGAGATAGCATTGGAGCAGAGATATGAATAAAATATTGGGGAAGACTTCACCATGAAGAAATATGTGGAAAGTGTATTACAGGAAGGGCAACAAATGCAAAAATTCTAAAACAAATGATATGTGACACTATGCATTTATTTTATTTTTTGGTACTGGGGATCGAACTCGGGAAGTTGTGCTTGCAAGGCAGGCGCCGGAACCACTGAGCTAAATCCCCGGCCCCACTATGCATTTATTAAAATCCACAGAATCTTCAAAGCAGAGTGAACCTTAATGCATGTAAATTGAAAAAAAAATCAGGAGGCCA